TGGTTGTCGCCACTAATTACCCTCCCTTCCGTGTTCTCCTCCCATATCACCAGCTCACAGTGGTGCCCTGGCGGGTCATAGCCGCGTATTGGCCTGAACCGTGCAGAGAGTGTTTACTCAGGCGCTACCCGCGTGCTCCTCGCTTTGACCAGCGCGCCCATAACCCGCGGCGTGGCCAACAATCGACCCCCTTTCGAGTCCCCAGGCAGGATGCGCGGCAGTCCCCCGCACCCCGGTGGTCCCCATCAAACCCGAAGCGGTGAGATAGGCGGTAATTGCGTGCTTGCCCTGCCCCACGGCAGTATTGCGCCCACGACCCTTGAACTCGGCCACAGAAGATCCCAGTTCCGACCTGGGACTTCAACCCCCACTTTCCCAAAAATCCTTGGCACACCCCTGTTCGCACTTCCAGGCCCCCATCCCACTCCGATCAGGAAGTCGCGCGGGGCGTGAGGTTGGGCGTCACAGGAGTCTGCTATGATCAGAGTTGTATGGCTTATGAGCACATGGCTCATCATGGTAGGAATTCGACAAATTGGATCATGCGTGGTGAAAACCGCACAAGGAGGTCTCTGGCCTGGTCTTCCCGCTTCCGCGCCATGTCGTAGATAGGTTGCCAGAGGCTTATCCTTTCTCCATTCTTACCCATTGGTTTCTGGTGGTCCCATCATCCACAGCGCCATCATGCCAACAAACATCCTTAGGCTACTCGACATTGTCGACAGCAATGTTGTGGCCAAGATAGGCGGTGTTGATCAAGCGCTGCTGGTTGGGCCCCCAAAAACTATTGAGGGAACTCAGTCTGCCGTGCCAGAATTTGCGGTAAGCAACCCTCGGTATGTTGCCGCGGAGTACTGCAAGTTTTCAGTGAGAAGATCATGAAGATGTAATGCATCTATTCACTCGGCATCACTCTTTTAGGAATGCTGGCGGGACATTTCTCAAATGCATTCGATGTCATTCAAGATGCTATTGAGGATGACACGGCTTTCAAGAATGCTCTCGATTTCAATGCAGGCTGTTGGGGTGTTGATCTATAGCATATTCTGCCTCATGCAGCATCGGTTGCTCTGTGCCGACCCAAATAAACGCAAACGGCCAGACATGATGGCCGCACCTGATATCGTCATCTTGCCGATATAGGAGGCTGTTGCGAGGGAGGTAGAGCTTGCATGCATAAGCATTTCGGAGACTGGAAATCGAGGAGAGGTTGGGAATGGAGCCTACTTCAAGCTCTTTTTGGCATTGAATCCTCGGGAGTCGGATGTTACATTGCTTGGTCTCACTTGGCCAAGAAAATTGCTTAGAGCGCGCGGAACATGAAGTGTTTGAAGTCTATGCAAGTGATCCTATGGGAAATGGAAACGTTGCATGGCCTATATTTGGCTCGCTGATTTCTGAGGTAACTCTTAATGTCCAGGGAGCATGAGGCAGGCCTGATGAAAATGGTGAGTTGGTCTGGAAGAATTTGTCAACTGCAGCATTCTTTTTGGGATTCTTATAATATGGTCATCATGATGATGTCTGGCGATTGCTGATGGTATCAGATTGGGTCCGAGAAGATCCATCCGGAATTATGTTGAGTTTTGACTTTCTCTTTTTTTTTTTTTTTTTTTTTTTTTTTTTTTTTTTTTGGGCCATTTCTCGTTTTATGCGTGTCATCCATTCGCAGGGGCCATGCTAATCTTCTCTGTATCGTTCCAATTTTAACGGATGCCCCGAAGGACACTTTCTCTTTTTTTCTGATTTCTTTCTACTTCTAAGTTCTGACTTTCTGTTACACAGTGCTGGCTC